TGATGATGATGATGATGATGATTCGAGCAGCGTACATCTGACGATAGAGCGCGTCCTTTAAACAGACACAGCAGCTAAAGACACACCCTCCAACTCTAAACTCTCAAGCCCACACCTGGATGCTCCAGTGCCAAGCAGGGTAAGAACCAGAAGCCCCAATGATTTCAAGCGCTGTTCTTAGTGTGTTTGCTCATATTATTTCTTGCTGAAGTACAATGTATGCTTGGTAGCCGAAAAATATCAAATGTTTTTAGGCTTTGAACGATGCTAAAACCTCAAATTGAGAACTGCACGCCCTGCACCATCTACCCCAAACCATAACCCTAAACCCTAGTTCTGCTTGACATTCTGCGAAACTTTCAGGCGTTATGGTAATCGACATGCGCGCTTGGGCCCGGGCCTTTGTCAGAAAACTTGTCTTCATTTGGCGAAGTCTTCCCTGAAAGAGTTTGATGTTGGGGTTTAGTGCTGCAGGGCCTTCTGGGGCATGGGGATTTAGAGGTTCAAGGTTTGGGCTTAGGGGCCGCAGAGGTTTACGCAGGGATACCTGGGGGTGGGGGGGGGGGGAGGGCGGCACATGATTTTTTCAATTGTTGCATTCATCTGGCATGTTAAGACTGTGCACAGGTTGTCATTGGGGCAAGATGATGTAGGGTCATGTAGAGTCCTCACGTTTCGGTGCTTGAAGTTGGCCATATAGCTGGGCTTTGGCAAAGACGTATTAAGGTGCTATGAATAGAGCTCTTCGGCCTCTTGCAGCCCTCCTTACATCGGCAATTGCGAAGCAGAGCCCATTAAAAGCATCCATAAATCCTAAGAGATCCTAAGAGAATCCGCAGCATTGGCTCCTAAACCACTGGGGAGCAACCATGTCTGAGTCAAAACGGGATCCGTGAATTTCACAGAGCCAATGCAAGCTCAATCCATCCTGCCTCTGATCAGTTGGGCACGTTCTGTTCGACCTAAATGGCAAAGCCAGATGAACCTAACCAACCCCAAAACCCTAGAACATAGACCTTTGATAGCATGGTAGTCTCTTACAATTGGGTCTTGGGACATTTTTGTTCATGAAAGCACATACCTGCCCTACCCTATCTCAAGAACCGCAGAGAACCCAACTTACCAGGTCACAGTGCTTGGCAAAACTGTTGCAAACACCTGCTTCATGGGTAGCTATCAGTGGGGTTACAGGTGCCCTGGCTTAGGCTATAACTATAATCTTAGAGCCTTACTCAAAACAGGTCTGGAACCTCCAACTGCGCAATGCCCCACCCTATGACAGTCCCCACATTGCAATTGCAGTGTCATTCTACCCTTACCAAGGGTCTCCCTAGGATAGGTGATATTTACAGACTTTACTGCCCAATGTAGGCATTAAATTATTTGTATACTTGGATCCCTGGGGTCTTATGGTCTTAGACATGCGACTCGGCCTAGATTACTTGTCCCAAAATGAGGGATACTGATACTTGTAACAGGAACCCCACTGTAAGGACCCGGTTATGATGAATCTAGGAAGTCCCACATGATTTTTATTTGACGCAGGAAGAGCTCAATGTGACTGGCGAAGTCCTAAGCTGGGCTCGGCGCAACAAGGATCGTGATCTCTGGAGGTGCACCCTGGTACGTGATAGTATTGGGGTGTAAGGTTCAGGTCCCGGAGTGTAGGGAAAGCCCAAATGCAAAAGTATACCTTGTGATGTGTTGGATACAAAAAGTGGGGTAGGTAGTAGGGGTTCAGAGGTTCTCAAGACAGCGCAGCCCTGCGGGGGATGCATCAGGATTGAAGCCCGATTATATGGAATTGTGTTACTGGTGCTTAAGGGGGAGTGGGCGATACAAGCTGGGCACTTCAATATGGGGGTACTTCTACATGAGGAGTGGACAGGGGTAGTTACAGAGATCTACTCCCCCATTTCCCTGAGGCACCAGCAAGCTTGAGGATGATACAGGAACCCTAAAACCTTGAAACCAAAACCCTAAAATTCGCTTGGGGAAGCTTCCCCAGCCATGCTTGGTTTGCATGGAACTACACCCAGCCAAATGTTCAGGTAGCTCGATCTTTACTGCATCTAAACCATATGAACTATAGTCTAAACGGGTTATATAGGGGGGTATATAGCGGACTATTATCGGGCTTATTGAGGGGGATACTAGCGGAGGAAGTGATTACCTGCATCCAACACAACGCATGTTTTCGGGCTTGTATACACACAGCGCAGAGGACATAACACAAAAAAGGTACGCTTTGTGTGACCCAGGTAAGGCTAAAATTTCTAGAGGCAAATACTTTTGGGTTCAAGGAATGTAGCCCAGACCCCCAGACCCTAAACCCCAAACCCTTCAACTAACCCCTAGACCCCTAAACCCCCAAACCCTAAACCCCAAATCCTAGACCCTAAACCCTAACCCCCTAAACTCTAAACCCTAACCCCCCAACCCCTAAACCCTAAGGCCCTAAATCCCCTATGCGAGCCTGCAGGCATGGATCTCAACCTCCTCTTCTGCTACTCCTCTACGACCGGGTGGAGTGGATTGAGGACATTTGGAATGTGGATGGCAGTGTTCCCAGCAGAGCGTTTTAGGGTTTAGGTTTCAGGGTTCGGCTTTTGGTGGAGTTTAGGGTTTAGGTTTTAGGGCTCTAACCCTAAACCCTCAACTCCTTGTTTGGAGTGTATATAGCGTGCCCAAGGGCTCCGTCAAGGTTCATGTTTGGGGTTGAGAGCACTGGGGATTGGTTTAGGTTTGATGGAATTCCGTGAGCTGCGAGGCGATGGTATATTATAGTATATTATGGTATACTATGGTATATCATAGTATATTGTAGTATATCTTATTATATTATAGTGTATTATAGTTGTCTAATTATCATTAGAGGCGATGCTTGCCATCCGCATTCCATGAGCTAACATCCAACGGGAGCCTGGTGCTGATCAGAACTACGCGCTATGCAGTGTAAATATCAAAGATAGACGCCTTCTGCCAAACCCTAAACCCCTAAACCCCTAAACCCCTAAACCCCTAAACCCTAACCCCCTAAACCCCTAAACCCTAAAGGAGAGGTTGGTAACACACTTGGGCAAAATACGACCAGCCATTGATGCCGCCTCCTGACCGTTTGTCCCTCTCCTGGATACATCTACCCAGATTGGGAGGATCTAGAAAGTAGAACCCCCAGTTTGGTACCCTATACTACTATTGGGTAATTCCTAGGAACCCTGAAGGGGGATCTGGGTAGTAGACTACGGCCATAGTGCAGCCAAACCAAATTGGGTCTCGTGCCCCTGGGCCTCTGAAATGTAGAAGCCAGAGCATCAAACTCAGGAAGGTCATCACAGCAACATATATTCATAAAGAGACTAACAGGCGCACAGTCCAGGGCAGGGTTCAAGTTCAAGGTTCTACTGTAGACCTTTGTTTGGCTGTGAAAGTAGCCGCTTCATTGGCAAGGTCTCGGCCACTATGGAAATCGCTCAGCGGAGCTGATTCGCAAGGCACGGGTTCCGTCGGGGCACTGTTTTCACAACAGGAAAACCGGAGGTGGCTGAACAGTTTCGCGCCACCCCTCATTTTTGGAGACTGCCAAATCAACCCTCAGGTTGGCAAAAGGGTGAAGGCTTTGAATAGCATATCGGGGCTCACGTATTTGAGGGGACAAGATGGTTCCCAAAAGGGACTCAAACCATTCTCTTGTTTAAGCAGCCACTGAAATATTGTCTATTTTTGAGGTCTGATGTATCCCTCCTGGGCTCTGCCACCGAAGAGGGGCTCAAAATTACTCTCCCTCGTCTCTGGCCCTTCCGGATTCAAGGTTTGGGTTGTCAAGAATTTGCATCATGGATGGGCACCCGGCCACAACGCCAATCGCCTAAACGCTGCAGTAGACCTCCAAGCTCGGAACCCTAACATGTTAAGGATCTTATGTTAACTTACCATCATGGGTATATATAGTACTGAATATGGTTTCCCCCATATGGTAGCTTAAATCAAGTTCCTTGACCGTAACCCAGTAGACGTCAAGCTGCAACATCTTAGAGATCTCCGGGGTCACCAGCATGCCTGCGACCACGTGTTTCGTGCCAAGCTCTGACTGTCTATCCGGAGGGACCTACCTCCACAAATAGTACCTGCCTTTGAGCCCTCAAGTCTAGAAATCATGTCTACCTGGGGGCTATTATTTGGATCCCGAGATAGTGCTTTCCCAAAATGCAGGGACCCTAGTCCCTCAAAATCAAAGTACTATGGACCTCATTATCAGCACCCTCAGAAATTCAAAAGTTCGGTATTGTACCCCCTATTGTGGGAAACCCCTACCCAGGGAACCCAGACCCGCAAAAAAAGCAGGCGGAAGCTTCAAACCCGGAGTTTTGGCATGAAACCCATGGTTTTCGTAACCCATACGGGTAAATCATGGGTTTGTCACGGGTAAATCGCGGGTTGGGCACGCGTTGGTCACGGGAAAACCTGGGGTTTTCAGAGCTCAGCATGTCACAAATCTGGGGTTTCACGTCAAAATTCGGGGTTTCGGGCAGTTGCTGCTCCAGACTCGGGGTTTTCAGATAGACCCGACAATTTTCCAGGGTTTCGGTTCTATAGGTATATAAGATTCTGTAAGCGAACACTGTACCCAAATCTGAACTCCGACGATGCGATCCCAATGTAGGGAACCCTAAATCCCGAGCCCTAGACCCTAAACCTTAAAGAACACTGAACCTACATGAGCCCTGGACTAAAGTTCTAGTCTATTCCTTAGGAGTCCCCCCTAAAACCCCCCTATACATCCCCCCATACCCAATCTAACTTCAGTCCGTAGCTCACATCTGCATTCCGAAGATGCAGGCAAAGATCCTTCATTGGACCGGCCCTCTGAAACCATGGCTCGGTGGCTGGGGCTGAAATCTTTCGGGTCAACGGTTTAAGGCTGAGGGTTTCAAGGTTTGAGGGTTAGGGTTTAGGGTTTCAAGGCTTAGGGTCTAAGGTTAGCGTCTAAGGTTGAAGGTCTATAGGGTTTGGGCTCTAAGGTTTGAGGGTTTTTAGGGTCAAAGGTTTAGGGTTGAAGCTTTTGGGTTTAGGGGTAAATACCCCTCCCCTAATTCAGCCCATTATCTGGAAAAATGGAAAAGAAAACAGAAACGCACATATTCTCCAGAAAAAAAACTTTGGAGAGTTCTGGCCAATCCACACGCCCAAACTAGATGTTCCCCTCGTTATATTATACTGAATTGGGAGTATATGTTTTGAGGTATTCTTAGGGTTTTTGGTAGGGGGATGGCGGAGTTCATTATTGGGGGAGAGGAGTTTGCGGGCATGAAGGGAGATCAAGATTTTCAGCCTCGGGTTCAGGGCTGTGGCTATAGAAGGTGTGTTATTTTGGGCATTTTCAGCTTATGGTGCAGGCTTCTGAAACACAATTAGAGCGCTTTTCTTTCAAGGCCCGTATGATGAGCACTACCCTGTATCTTCTATGTATAGGCAGATCTTCAGCCCGCGTTGTAGAAGAGAGGTAAGCAGTAGGGTCTGTGGTTCAGGGTTTTAGAAGTCATGTAGGGCATGATGTCGGAATACTGCGGCGTGCATAGGTGGGGGTGTCTTGGTTCATTTTGCGGAAAACTACGTGTTTTGAGCCCTGTGTCTTTTGGGGTTGTTAGCTTTGTTTGGGCCTCCGTGGGCCCTGCTATTCTCACGGATCCTCAGGTGCCTTTCTGGTGCTGCAGGCTTGTGTGTAGTTATCCGGGAGAGATTGCGAGATGTCAGTACATATCAGCTGCATTAGGATGCACTCCATTGGGGGAAAGCGAAATCCATTGGTACAAGCATTGGAACAGAAGATGGCCATCATGTGTCTGCTGCCATTCTTCGCGTCTAATGTGCTGCTGCAAACCTTGTTTGCGGCATCATGAGAACCCTACACCTGCAACGCAAAGGCTACAGTGAACTGATCTATACTTCCTCCGAAGGCATGGCTGCCTTTTGGAGGTCTGCTATCGATTCCATTGTGTAGGGTGGCTAACCCATATTTGAGCCTGAGCGGAATCGGCCCCAGAGCCTCCGGCTTATGGTTTTATTGGGGTGTATAGGACTTAGATGGGCCAGTAGGCCCTTAAACTTGATCCCTCCTAAACCCTGAACCTTAAATCCCTGTATACCCTAACCCTCCAGGCTTCTCATCTGCGTATGCCACAGAGTCCTGAATTTTTGAAGTCAAGAACCAGCGTCACCCAAAACCCAAATCGAAATCCTACGGTGGCTACTAAAAATCAGGCATGATCCTGAGTACCGTGCACCCTGGGAATGTTGGTGTTATGGCATGAGAGGAGGATCGCGCAGCATTTTTTGTATCAACAATAGCCCTCAAGCCCTGACACCCAGATAAACCCTTTTGCTGGCCTGTGGTTAGCTGGGAATGAAGGAATGGAAAAGAAAACAGAAACTACTATGATTGGTTATATGAGGAGTGCTATAAGGATCCATTCCTTCATTCCTAGCTATCCAAAGGCCAGATTCTATAAAGACCCTAGAATCTTCAAGTGTCACATCTTCTCAAGCAAGGTAACGGCCTGCGCAAGGAGCGGATCTTGCAGATTTCTGAGCACGCTCTTAATCTAGGGTTCCCATATCAGGCCTGTGGGATTCAGAGGGGAGTACTTAGGGCTTCGGGTTTAGGGTTTAGGACTTCTAGGGATTACTTAAAAAAGAATGACATGTTGCCAACCTACAGCTGATTTTGGTGGTAATTTGCACTGGAAAAATGATTGCCCTGTGGGAGCATAGTTGAGCTGGATAGCCACGCCAGCAGTGGGATGATTCTGAACCCCCTAACCCTACCCTAAAACAAAATGAAGGGTTCTATGCTGGGGGCTGTTGGAGGCAGCGGTGGAGATTGAGCTGGTGCCAGGTCGGAATTCCATACAACTGCGCATGTCCCCAACTTATCCGTCCATCTTTGGAACTGCACATGACAAGGATCCTATCGTTTGGCGAGGGATGGCCTTTCTCGTCATGGAAGCGGCCCTACCAGTGCTTGTGCTAGCTATAGTCAACATTTCCTAGATAATTTCATGGACATGGGTTCCTTACCTAAACTACAAGAGGGACCCCTATGTCCACTGACTGTTTAGGGCCCCCTTTAATAAGGCTCACGTGAGGTTCCAGTTTCCTGACTTGGGGAAGTCGATTATCGTGAAAGAAAGGTTCCAGCGTCGCGGTCCATGAAGGCTTTGGGGCACTGTGTTCCCACGCTCTTGGTCAGGACCTATGGGAGCCGTTCAGCGTCCATTGTTGGGAGAGGACAGCTGCAAATGGCCTTGTGCAAAAAACCTGAATTATGATTGAGGAGTATTTCGATTTTGTCAGGTGATCTAGATTGAAAAAATCTCATGATTATAAGCGATCTACGGACTAACCCTCCGTCTCTTTAATTATGTTTAACGTCGGCCAGAATTCTTGGAAATCATGCGTTTCGTCCGTAAAACGAGATGGTCCCCCCAAATAACGAGATCAATGTTTTTAATATTCAATACAATTTTTTTTGGAAATTGAAGTGCTATGAAACGAGATGGAGGAGAATTTATCAGGTACTTCACCAGGCCCGTTGGTCAAATAACGACATGATATATCGAACGAATTCAAAACGAGATTCAATTGAATTCAGAGACGGCATATTTGGGTAATTCCAAGGCAATTCGATATTTACGATATATATATAGACAATTAATAGAGATACGAGAAAATCAAATTCAAATGAATATAAAATATTAGAGTTGAATCGCTGCGGAATATTTTTATTTGAGAAACTCTAGAACGAGAAATCTGATGAATAATTAATAT